TATATTATTTAGTCATTGAAAAAAAAAGTTTGCTGAAGTTTTCAGTTTGCTTTAAATTTCATATCCAAACGTTTTCTGAAAGTTCACAAGAACAATATCGTTGAAAAATTTATGACATCACAATATGAATAAGCCAGGTGTTTGTCATCTGCACTTGCCCAAAAAAATGACTAACTATTGCTAACTACTAAAATGACAAAGCTGAAGAATTATCTCATTGATTTGACTGAGGAGTGTATACAGGTGGGGACGAACAGGAACCTAAGGGCCTTGTAAAAGACCGTGGGTAGTGTGTCACCTTCCGGATCTCAAAGTTTGCATGTCCGAGTTGACAGCTTTTGTTTTTTTTCAGTAAGCCACCTTGTAATTTAACTGTTGGACAGGTAGCCGCATGTCTGCAGTCATTACCTGTTTGTAATTACCTGCGCTCCCATTTCAGACAACTCATGAGACCACATTGTTTTCTCATGGAGCAGCGCCGGGGGCCAGAACAGGTCGGGCAGCATTCCCTGTCCCGTGACTTCTGATGTGTACAGCCAGCCAGATGCGTCAACACCCCAGAATCAGATGTGTGGGGTGCAACCAGATGGACTCTCACCAGACTGCGACTGCCACACTTCAATGACTCGAATCTGAAGGGGAATCACCAGGGCAGGGACAGAGGAGAAAAAAGGGGTGGGACGGGCGAGGGCGTGTTGGTAAGTCAAATGGCTTTTGTTTTGTTTTCCTCTGATGATTGTGCTCTCTGAAGTTGTATCTGCGCAGAAGTCTTTGGTTCAGTAGATCAAACGCAATGAAAATGGCACAGTATTTACCATCATTGTGCTGTTTGTGCAATTGCGTTTGTATGTTTAACTCTTATTCAGGGTGTTTTAAAGGGGTCATATGATGTTGCTAAAAAGAACGTTATGTTGTGTATTTGGTGTAATGCAATGTGTTTATGCTGCTCCTCTATGCCCCGCCTTTCTGAAACGCGTCGTTTTTTACAAAGCTCATCGTTCTGAAAAGTGAGGTGTACGCTGATTGGTCAGCTATCCAGTGCGTTGTGATTGGCTGAATACCTCAAGCGTGTGACGGAAATGTTACGCCCCTTAACATACTGTGATGCCATCTCCCAGCACGACGAGACAAAACCAATAAAACCCATTACATACGAGACATTTGTTGCATCCAGTGGGGACATAATTACTGATTATATTTACTTATACTGTGTTTTTACGCGTAGCGTATCGCGCCGCGTAAACATAAAACCATGTCTGCATTTGTGATCGGAGAAACAACAAACAAACAGGCGCTACTCTACACTGTTTAAAACTCGCGTTTGAATCATCAGTGGCAAATTCTTTAAATATAAAAAATTTATTTAGAGGCTGTGAGTCAGAAGCGCCAGACTGTCCTTGCAAAGTTGGAACTGCCCCACTTTATAGAACAGCCTTTGAGCACAGACCCATTGTAGATGCTTCCCGTTTGTCAGTTGATGGCCTTTCATTTTTAACCAGAAATGTGCACGCTGCTTTTCTAATGTTCACTGAAGTTTTCCGTGTCTTTTTCCTGTGCCACTTGAAATGTTTCCATTTTGAATCGTTGTTACATGTGAGGAAAAAATAAACGATCAGTTGTGGGACTATATTCTGTCATAAATCGCATACCATTCATTGCTGAACTTTCTACCGTTACTGGAAATGAAATTTAATTACTGGTTGATATGTCCCGATCTCAATAAAGTTTACACACGCTTTTGGTCCGTGAATTAGATCTTGCGCTGTCTGTGGAGGTTTGGCCAGGACCGGTTCCAGAATTAAATCAACATATTTTATGTTCCGTTCATTGCCAATCACTGCTATTTCGAGAGTGAATCCCGCATAAATATGCGGATGTCATTCCCGAAACTTTGCAGGATGTAGCCTGTGTCCGAAAAACTAAAGTTCCATACAAATTCTGAACGGATTATACCCTAGAAAGTGAGCAAAGCGCGCTCCATTTATCACTATAGGGTGCTTTCACACTAGCACTTTTAATGACGTATTATTTAAAAAAAATGTGTGTTTGTGTGTGTTTCACTCACTTTCCTGACGAGCGTGACTGACGCGCTGCAAACAGAGAGCTGTATATCTCATTTCTGTTCCACTTCAGCGTTCTTTAGAGCATTTGCAGTACATTCGTAAGACAGACATACAGTAAGTGCCGTTATGTACCGAAGCTAATCGAAGCAACAGGGTAAACAGCTGCTGGCTTGATGACGCAAACGAACCACGGTTCGGACGGAAATAAAATAATATGAACACAGTCCAGTGGGAGCAGGGGGGTAAGCAATCGAACTCTGGTTCGGACCAGGCAAGCGAACCAAGTGTGAAAGCACCCTAAAAAGCGTCACTCATCTTCGTTCATCGCGATCTTACAAAGTTCCTTTATAATCAATGAAGCCCTCTAAACTGCACAATGAATCTTATTGACATTGCGTCTGCACTTACAGTGTGTTCACACCAAACGCGAATTTAATTATTCGCGCGAGTAGATTACATACAAAGTCAATGCAAAGACGCGAATAGAGGCGAATTCGCGCCAGGCGACGCGAATGACGCGAAATGCGCGACGCGTTTGCCGCGAACGCGAGATATTCGCCTCAATCGCGTCTTTCGTGCAAGTTCAAAAA